CCACTGCCCTGCCAGGAGCCTGGGCACCAGCTGCCCGCCACCACCCTGCTGGCCTTCCTGGCTGCTGTGGGCCAGTGCTGCTCCCGGGGCAAGAGCAAGAAGCCAGGCACCCTGCTCAGCTACTCCAGGTGCTGTTGGGTGAAGGTCTGGGGGAGCAGGCACTGGGCCCTCAGTGCCTCTCACTGGGCCCTGCTTGGGTTATAGGTCAAAAGGACACCACCTCCCAATGCCCCCGTCTTCTCTGCACCCTGCCCCGTCCTCAGGGACATGGCAGGAGTTTACCCTCTCCCCACCTGAGCCCAGAATGACTGACTAACCAAGTGCCCAGCCTTCCTCTCCAGTCCCTGGGCTTAGGTTGGGTTTCACCTCGTTCTTGGTCACCCAAGGGCCCCACCCCCTCCGGGTACCCCTTCCAACTCTAGGTCAATTGCAGCAAGGGAGCCACCCAGCTGGGCACCTTCCTGGCCATGGAACAGCTACTGCAGCAGGCAGGGGCTGAGTGCACCGTGGACGTCTTTAACGTGGCCCTGAAGCAGTCACAGGCTTGTGGCCTCATGACCCCAACGCTGGTGAGAGGGGCTGAGCTGTGGAAATTGTTGGGACATGCGGTGGAGATGGGGAAGGTTCCACTCCCTTCCATCAGGCAGCCTCTAGGAGGCATCATTCAGGCTGCCACCAGGTGGCGCTGTGGACCACCAGTCTCTCTCCCCGGTGGAGCCCTGGGGCTTGGGAGACAGGTGGGAGCCTTTCTCCTCTGGGTTTGGGCAGGTGGGATGAGGCTGGTGACCCTCTGGCTACCCCAGGAGCAGTACATCTACCTGTACAACTGCCTGGACAGCGCGCTGGTGGACGGGTGGCCCTGAGTTGGCACTGCACCGCACTGCGCCGGAGCGGAGGAGGTCTGTGCCCTGCCGGGCAGGGATAAGCAGCCCCAACGAGGCCACTGGGCACCCTGCTGTGAAGGGGCGGGTGGGGAATAAAGACACTCAGTCAAGCTGAGGCCGAGTGGGCTGTCTGTCTATCCTCCGACTTGGGCAAGCATGGGGCAGGGATGGAGCTCAGCGGGAGTCTGTGCCCTGGAACAGCCCCCACCTCCGAATCCTCCTTTCCCTGTTTCCTCTAATTCCAGTCCCTCCACCTCTAGTGTCCTGCGGTGCTAAATCTGAGATTCAGAGTCCTGGTTACTCATTGTCCTCCGTCCCCCTCCCCATGTCAGTGGGGTTCATCCTCCCCCACCTCTGCCCTCCAGCGATGTGTCTTTACCAGACCTCTCAAGGGCCACCTCAGTCACTGCTGGCTCCTGCCAGGAGGGGGCGCCAGAGCCACACTGTGACTTGGAAGGCAGGGCAGGAGGTCCCTCAGGCTGGAGTTACCACCTTTCCCTGTTCCTGGACTCTGGGCTCCTTCTTCCCTCCACTGTGGGTGAGGTGGGAGAGAAAGCAGTGAGGGGATATGGAGAAGGGACAAACCAAGAGGAGAAACAGACCAGGAAAGAGGTGGGAATGAGGCAGGCTGTCCACTGCTTTATGCTCACGATGGCCCGGTGTGCTCCTGGAAGGGCCCCCCCAGGGCTCTGGCCTGCCTGCCTGGCCGGCCACAGGCTTTGTACGAAGGGCCTTGAGGCTGGACACCAGTGTGCCCTGGTGGAAGGCCCTGGGAGGACACAAAGGGATCCTGGCCACGGCAGAGCTGGGGCCCCTGAAGTGGCGTTAACCCGTCAAATGGGGGAGGTGGCAGAGCTCTCACTGGCCGGCCCATGTTCCTAGTCATGTGCAAGTGGTCAGAGAGCAGAGGAGAGAGGAGGCTCCTTCTCAGGCCTGGGTGGAGAAGGGGAACAGGTGTGGGGCTTTCTGCTCCAGCAGGAGCCTTCCCAGGTTGGGGCTAGACTCTGGGGCTCCCCCAGGACTGACTGTTAATGATGTCTGCATCATACATGGTGTTTATTGGGAGTTCAAGGGATGGCCCCACAGTGACACTCACATGGGCCCCTGGGGACGCAGCCCTGAGTCACCCATGCCTGCTCAAGGGGCCGCTACAAAGGTCACAGCAGGACTTGGGTGCAGTTTTCCAGCTGGGGGGTTGGGGGTGGGGCAGGAGTGCCAGATGAGCCGGGGTGAGCCTAGGCTACCCACGAGTTAGGCCTGAGGGCTGCTCTGGAGGTCTCTGGTTGAACAGGGCCATCGTCAGGCCTTCCCAGGGACTCACCCACTACTTACAGGGCCATGGCTGGAGGCTAGGGGCAGGGCCTGCTTGCTTCTTGGTTCAGCCCTGGGGGCTCAGCAGAGATCTGAGCGGGCTTGATGATCGGGTGCTGGAACATGAGCATGGGGTGGAACTGAGGTCCCCGGTTCCTGGTGTACACAGAGTGGATCAGAGAGGGCAAAGCTGGGCAGGGGAAGGCTCACATCCTGCCCAGGAGAGACCCAGGAGAGACCCAGAAAAGCAAGAGGCGACAGGAAGGAAGCACAGCCAGCCCAGTATGCCCTAAGGAGAACCAGGACTTGGCCCAGTTTAAACCACCTTCCCGCATGCTCCCCAAGGTTCTGGGACGCCAAGACAGACAGGATCTGAGCCTGAGGGTGGTTGAACTGCAGTGCAACGCTAAGCCGCCAGGTGGCGCCAATCTGCTGACTTTCTGTCGCTGATAACCAGCGGGGCAGATCGCAGTCCCTGGACTCCTGGGTCCGAGGATTAGCGATCAAGGTGGCCTTAAGCCTGAGAGAAGCTGCATGAGTGCACGTTCCACCTCTGCATACTCTGTGGGTAGAAATCCGCATTCATTTCTTTGGTGTCAGGGCGTGGGCCCTCAGCGCCAGGCTTGCCCGTTGCCCCTCACTCTAGCTTGCAGCAGGACCCTCCACGGCCAGACCCCTTTCAGTACCACCCCTCATTGCCCGCTGTCCCGTCCTGAAAACAGGCCGCGAAGGGCTGCATGGCCTGGAACAAATCTCTTCTCCTGGGGCTGTCTGCCAGTGTAAAACGTGGAAGAGGGGCTGGGGCCTATGGGAACGCTCAGTTCTCTTCCAGGGGGTCTCCTCTGGTTCCCGTGTGACCCGGACAGGGCCTGTCCCTAAAGGCAAAAGGATTCCGAGCCCCACCTGTCAGCACCCCTTCCAAACAAGTGCAGGTCCCTGACTTGCTGATTTTGCTCGCTCCGGGCTTCGTTGCTTTATTCCTCTTTTTTTCCCCCTTCTTTTCCTGGATGAAATTCCTGCCAGCTCGGAAGGAAGGAGGGAAGGAGAGCGAGCCGCAGCGCACAAAGTTTCCTTGACTCCTCCTCCGCCTGTGTCTCCCTCCCTGGCCAAGCCCAGCCCGTGAAACTGAATAACGATCACTCAACAATGCCTGCCCCTCTCTGACTGCGCCATCCCGCGCTCTAGCC